ACCTGATGAGCCCCAAGAAGGGCGAAACCGATCGTGGGCTGTCAAAGAGTTTTCAGCAACCTTGTGAGTAGTTTCCTTTATGAAAATGTACTGCGATATATCGAATGTCGTGCCAACTGTATCCCATACTCTGATCAACAGTCGAAGTTTTCCTTATATGAAGTAACCCTCAAATCCTGGCAGCGAAAATTTCACTTTCGTGACCAAAAGTGTCAGATCAATCGAAATTAGTTGACAGCCAACTATCGATCCACGAGTCTTGATTCGACGTGGGCGTAGACCCCGGATTTCGAACAATCCTTATTTTCCAAGTACTGAATAAGCCGGCAATCAGGAACGGCACCCACTAGCCGCACAATGCTCCCGGGTGCAAAACCTCTACTTTTGCGCCAATACATTTCATTTTGTTGCAAATGTGCTCAAACCAAAAACTATCCTAATTTACTTTCATATTTTTTTGGGGCGAGATAGTCGAAGTGGGCGCGAATTTAATTTACTGTGATAGGAAGGTTCGTGGTTCGAACCCGACCCCTGCCTCTCGACTTCCCCTGTCTAGGCTTGGGTGAGGTGGCAGTATCCCAGCCCTCGTGCAACTTTCGGGTGGCACGGCAGCCAGGCACCGAAAGAATGTGGCAGTTAAATGGTTATTTATTTATTTATTCTTTCATATTTTTGCACCTCACCAAATTTCATTGTTCACTGAAGTCTGGTGGGATAATTTCCCAGCATCGCTGGGATGCCTAAATGGGGCTCAAAAGTTTGGACCAGTACTCTTAATTCAATTGCCTAATTGCCTCAATCCATCAGGGGCCATTGTGCGAATACCGAGCGCCATCAGGAACTGCGACCACTAAATGAATTGGAAGCGGGGTAGAAACGGTAGCTGATTTTTACTCCGTTCTAACGTCCATTCTCATAGCTTGAACATCGAATCATAGGGGAAATGAGGCGGTCCTAGAATCACACATTTGGTTACAAGCCATCAACGGAAGATTCGTTCGTTTAAAACGTCATGTTCATTCGGAACCAAAAAATGATGGTTCCTTGTGAGGAAAACAATTGTTTTTTGGAGGCGAGGGACTGTCACTCAGGTCTAACAATAAATTTTCGGCGTCTAGACGTCATACGCTACTCACAAGGTTGCTGAAAACATCACAAACGACAGATTCAGCTGGAAACAGCTGAGTCCCCCTTTAAAGCCAAATTCGTAAGCAAATGAGAGCAGTTGGCAAACTTTTCGGTTCAGATGAGAGAGGCTGTTGACCCGAAGCGGGTAATTATCACCTCTGAGTGAAAGTACTGTCCACCCGTTATGAGATATTCTTGGGAAGGAAACTTGGAGAAGTGTACGGGTGATGAACTCAAAGGTGACGTGGGAAACGAGGACAATCAAGTTTAGATTAGCTCTGGGAAGAATCAACTATCTGAATCGGAGTCGAAATGCAACGAACTGGAAATGACTCAGTGGCTAAGGCGCGAACTTACTGAACCGAAGGTCCGTGGTCCTCTGCATCTCGAACTGTTCACCTGCCTAGGCTCGGGCAACCTGGCAGTATCGCCGCCCTCGTGCATTCTTCGGTTGGCAGCTGAACGATCAAGCGTTTGTGGCCCAATAGTCAAGTGTTCTAAACAGTAGCTTGAAGGTCGTGGGTTCGAGACTCCCCACCGGAGTTTCGTGAGAATCGTTTCACTGAAATTTCGTCCTGTTTTTGAAGGCCGTCCATCTTGAAAAGCCAAGAGGCATCTGATGAATCCCCATGATGTCCCAAACCGCTTGAACACTCAAAAATTTGGCCATGAGTAATTGATCAACGGTGACTAACTCGTACTTAGACCCTTCAATCATAGAGACCACCACCACGTGGTCACGTATTGACGGGCTTCTCGAGTGACATATTTTCCGAAGGAAGTTTCATTCGTCCCGTTATTCCGCTGAGATTTCGTCCCGCAAGTGAAGCCAGCCTTCGCTGCCAGGCCAAGATGCACTGTTTCATCCTCATCAGCAGTGCGCCCTAATTCGCACTGACCTCACAACCAGAGGACTGCACTCGCCAAATCCAAGTAAATGACTGCTACTTTCAGAGGGTAGCCACATGAAGTCCTTGCATCGTGCCGCTGAGGGATGTCAATTGATATGGTATGCACAAGGCTAGCCCTCTGGAGAGATCACTCCTAATGGTCTGTTGATGCTTCTGTCACCCATACAGGTCGATTTTTATGGACAACTTCAGAAAAACGCTCCAGAAAGCAGTGAGGGGAGTAAAAAGGACGTTTTTGGAGAAAACCCATAAAGAGCAAGAAAGGAGGAGGGAAGTGGACAAATCGGCGAGGAAACTACCTGGAACACACACACTCTCTCGAGCACATTCAAGCGAAGACAGAGCGCCGAAAATTCAAATGGAACAGAAATGGGACAAGAAGAGAAGCCAGCGACTCAAAATAATTGCAACGGACATCTGATTGGGGAAAACTAGTTGGAAGCATGTGACGACAAAGATCACGAACGAAAAAAATGTTCATTATCAGTTCACGCAGTTGGAACAAGTGCCTACGCGTGCCGAAAATCAGCTGATAAGTGTCGGACCGACCGAGCACGTGACTAGGTGAACAACATACCGATGGAATGCTATTTTAAGTGAATTGCTCGTACCGGGAGTTGGTGCTAGACGACAAGGAGGAGAACGCAAAAAAAAACAAACGCGGAGAAGTGGGAAATCGTCAGAGAAACAAAACTCACTTTGGGTATGTACTCTCGGTCGATAGTCCGTTCGAAAAACACGTGCCAGCGGCGACTTTTCTCCAACAGTCCGCGGGGCGGCATGCCCAAAACTTCAATGATTTTCATCATTTGTCCAACCTGAATGCGACGGGGGAAGCAAAATAAAAACAGTGAAGGGATGCTGAGGCAGTTGCAGCAATGTTGCAGACCAACTGATGACCGGTTGGGGAACAATAAAGTTATCCTAATCGTCCAGCTGCAATATTGCTTCGGTGCCTAGCTGCCATGCCACACGAAGGAGGCACGAGGGCTGGGATACTGTCAGGTCGCCCAAGCCTAGACAGGGGAAGTCGAGATGCGGCAGAGGTCGGATTCGAACCACGGACCTTTCGGTTACAGCAAATTCGCGCTCTAACCACTTGGCCATCTCGCCCGGTTCCAAGGATACGGCTAAACAGAACTATGAACGGAAGCGGAGATAAAGAACAACACCAAGACTGGAATTCAGTTGAGTCTTTGATTAAAAGTCATCACTCGAGGACCTAGTCAACAGGTGTGATGTGGTCTCCGTAACAATATGCCGTCTCCGTTCAAGCTATTCAGACTGCTAGTCAGTCGCTCTTGGCTGAACGAACGAATGTTCAAACCACTAACTCCCGTTTGAACAGTCTTGCCGCGATCGTGGCGCAGTTATTCTGGATAGTCTACATTAAACAGGGCGAGCGTTGGAATTGCGTTTCACCCTAATTAGAGTTCACCAGGAGTGTATGCCGTGTCCAACATGCTCTGGTGAAGTAGGGGGGTAATGCAATTGCCCTGCATATCCGAAACCCGACAACGATGCGCACTGCTGATGAGAGCAAAACTCGAGTTCAGTGGTTACCCCCGAGACCGTAGTAGCGGGGCGACAAATACCAAAAGCATTTGTAGTTAGAGAATTTTGTTTGCCCACCGTTCAGCCTGTGTGTTTGCTTGGCCGAATGGGAATTACATTGTCTCGATCGATCGCCACATCCAGGACAGTTGCTGGATCGTCGTTAGAGGAGCCGGGCAAACCAATCCATCGCCCAAGTCGCCTGTTCAGACGTGATAGTTCAGATGCGTCCACCAACGTGCGTTGGTGGAGTAGTGGTTACACGCTCGCCTCAGATGTCCGGGGTTCAAATCCCGGCACGGTCATTGGATATGCACTACTGATGAGCTCTAATAAGAGCGAAACTCGAGTCCAATGCTTCCCCCGTTTGGTGTGGACTCACCGGAATAATTACGCCAGAACAGGAACACGACCGTTCAAACGAGAGGGGTGTGGCGATGAACGAAAATACCTACCCCTCAAAAAACCCCGAAATTACATTGGTTGCATCACTGATTTACGCCAAGACCTTACTGCCTGGACACGAAAGACGCACCCATCCACTGGCGAAATTCCATCCTGATGGGACATCGTTTCTGCTTTAATTCTCTTTTAGCCGAAGTCAACTCAGACCTCGGATATTGCCACGGGAGCACGATAGTGCAGACACGATAGATTTCTGACAGTTGGGTCACGCTGTTCCATATCACGGCCCACATATCGGGTGACCGCACTTTAGTCGATCTGGCAGTGAGACAAAACACATGTTTTCTGAAGTAGTGCCCATCAAATACGCACCTGCATTTATGGGAAGCTTAACAAGAACCAAACGCTGAGAAACGTGCTTCAGGGGGTTGCGTTTAGCACCAAAACGACCGGGGAAAACATCCATTTTCCTACAACCTTTGGGGCCGAATTTGAGCGCAGACAGTCTCTGATGTTGAAAATATCATCCATCACGAAGAGACTGAACCTAACCGTGGTGTGACGGTTTGTACCTGCGCGATCCATTGAGCTATACTGAATCCGCCGGTGAGCGAAATCACCAAGAGTCAAAGTGGCCCGACTCGACCGCTGGGTCGAATACTTCGGGTAGCAATTCTCGTGGCCACCTGCGACCTCGAAAGCTTATGAATGAATAGGTTCTCTAAAAACGCCACCAAGCTTTTGGTGCGGATCACTTCCAACCCGTATGGTTTACAGATGGGGATGAAATCCTCAGTCAGCGTTGTCCAATCTGTTTGTGGACATTTTGGGAAAGGAGTCTGTCCCAGATAACTGGTGATAGTCCACATTTTCAAAAAAGGGGCTCGTAGTGAGTGCGGCAGTCACAGAGGGATCAGCTTGAGCGCGGTCGTAACGGGACTGTTGGCGTCAATTGTGCTTCATCGCCCTAGGGTGGCTCGCGAGATACTGACCCGAGAGCAGCAAGCGGGATTCCGGCCTGGTAAGGGTTGAGTTGACCGAATCTTCACACTGCGTCAGGTGCCAGAACAACGCCATACGTATAAGCGACCCACAATTCTAGTATTCCTGGATTTCCGAGGCACATTCGACTCGGTTGATCGGTCTGTTCTTCTTAGGACGCTTACCAACCAAAAAATGCCCCGGAAGTTTGTAAACATAATACATTCTTTGTATTCTCAGACTTCCAGACGTTTGAGAGTATACGGAGAGCTCTCCAACAAATCTAGAGCGGTTTTTAAAAATCGTCGCCAAGAGATCCAAAAAACCGGCCAAAAATTCCTTGATTCACTTTATTCGTACAACCTTAATTACAATAAGTTGTCATGGGAGGCTGAAAATACCTCAGAGGAAGTTCAGGGATTGACAACTTTGGTAAACTATAAACTGCATTCTGCCGGCGGACTCTACTCAACTTGATCCACCAACCAGATGCGTGTGCTCCAGGCAACGGAGTTTCGAGAACGAGCTGTTTTTGTCTGAACACATTTCAGAGCGGCTGCAAAAGCAGTAATCAAGCCTACGTCACACGCGTCTCTGTCATCAGTACGATCCCAAAAACCTCCATGCCAGTTCGTACCCGTCATTCACGGCAGTTAGAATCCAAAAGGACAGCGACTGACTGCATAAAAGGGCTCTATTTTCGCGGATGGGGTTTGGAGTGGTTAATTGGATCTAACTCCACTTGGATTGTGTACTTTTAGACCAAAACCATTTCGCTGATAACTGCACACCGTCTCTATCGTAAATGTTAGTCATCCCCACTAACCAGCAAACAGGAACCTCAGACTGAACACCCAGCACTCATCAAGTCGGCTAGTCGTAAGAGAGCTCAGGGATTGGTTCCCTGACTTACTTACTTACTTACTCACTTGCCTTGACGAAGCTTTTGTGTCAAAATTGAAATATTGCCCAGCAATAAGTCCACTGATTGTTTACCAAACCTCTCGGAAACGATGATTTCTCAATCGGCCCCATCCAATTGATTGAAGATGACTAGTCGATTCACATAATTGGGCAAGCTGTGCAGTCAAACAACGCAATGAACATGTTTTGGACAAAGTAAGAGTAAAATAAGCGCCTTGACAACCAACAATGTTCCAGGAAACTTGCTTTCTTGCTTTCTACAAAGCTTTATACTTCCAGTGAGATTTGATCGCTCACTGACAGCCCCGTTGGTTTGACCCGCTGCTGTAGCCATCATGCTGTCCACAGTGGCGCGTTTCCAATCCCGTAAAGCTTGGTATCGAAATTTGTTTGCCAGACGTGGTAGATACGATAGAGTGTGCGTGTGTAGTACTCACATGACATTTTCGTTTGGGGACATTTATCGTTGTGTCCTAGCTTGTGACTTGAATATCCCATGGAATAAAGCTCTAGGTTTTCGGAAAAGTTTGGGGAAAAATCGGTCGGGGAGTTTTTCAGCAACCATATGAGTAGTGCATCACGTCTATACAATGTATTGTGATTTCTCGAATATCGTACCAACTGAAACATGAAGTGGCCTGGTGGAACAGATTGAGCTGGATAGGAAAAAACATAAACGAGAGACTTAGCTGAGTTCCAGGTGAGTCTCTCGCTCACAGACCTTGAGGTTGACGGAAACTCGAGGACTGCGCGCCTACCTGATGAGCCTCGAAAAGGGCGAAACCGGTCGTGGGCTATCGAAGAGTTTTCAGTAACCCTGTCAGTAGTTTCCTTTATGAAAAAGGGCTCTATTTCTTCAACATGTCTACAAGATTCACATCAGCCATGTGTGTTTTTCTGGCCACACCCGGGGCTAGCAGCCAAGATGCATGGTGGGAAATAGGCAGTCTGCGTTGTTTGCCTCCGTTTTTTGCTTGATTGCATACATAGGCAACTGTCTGTTCATCTTCCCAGTCCAGTAGAGGCGGCTATCGTGCGCGTACACAGGACACGAGCGCGCATCTCATGCGATATATAGGTGTGATTGATCATACCGCGTTCTACCGAACAAAAGAATCAGGATAGCGTGATGCCGCCGTCAACCATGTCCCCTGCGAACCTAGTGCGGATCGCCTCGGTCGGTTCACATGGATGATAGAATAGGTAGCAACTCTTCATCGATCGATATCTTGCATCAGAATGAAACAAAGTGATGTGACAACTGTGACGTCACGAGGTCTGATTATGGTGAACGTAGGATCAAAACAATCACGACACCATCATCGGTTGAGTCCATAACGGCAGGATGCTCAAAAAATTCCCGTGTGTGTGTGTGGAGAAGGGGGGCGGCTGAGACCATGTGTCGACACAGTAACAACCAACAGAATGAAACCGTTAATTTGACTGACCTCACCTGGTCACAGATGGCTGTAGTCTTCGAAAACCAGTGTTCGACCAAGCTACCGTCATTAGCGATCAGATTAAAACCCGAAGGAAGAGTCGTAAAACTTCGTTCGATAACTGGCTTCTGTCAAAAATGACGACGTGGTCAGAACCAATTATCAAGCAACTCTTTTCAAGGTGCCTTTTTAGAAATAAGCTCGATATTGTTCTTGTTGCCAGTTTTTTTGCCGAGAACCACTTTCAACAAGCGTCAACAATTTGGTTTTTGTTCGTGACATTCAAAGCTAGAAGCTTGGATTGCCAGAGTTCTGTGGGAACCACGTCGTGCTCTCTCGGGGATGAGAAATTGCGTTCAAATTGTGTTTCGGGGGCTGTCTTTCCAGTAAGTCAGTATCGTTCTCCAAATGGTAGGCAGATCGAAACACAAGGTGGAAGGAAGAGGGCCTTTGCTGCGGATTTATTAATCACAAAATGTCAGCTGAACAGTTACGGACTACTGAACAGGGGAGCAAAACTCTCATATGCATCTTATTTTTAAAAAAAACTGAACATCCATCTTCTCTTGAACGCGTCTTCCTGAACTTTTCTGGATATTCATTGACTGTTACTGAATTGGAAGCAAACTCTACAGAGGGGCTCCACAAATTCCGTAACAGATCTCACTTTTCAAGAGACGCAAAGCGAATTTACAATAAAACATACTACTCACATGCCTTCTCCATCAGTAGTATCACCGTTACAAAGGTACATCGGTACTCACCTCATTCTGTCCGGCGAATAAAGGTTCACCTGTGTGCAGCTCGACCAGGATGCAGCCCAACGACCACATATCTATGCTCATCGTATAGTCCAAACCGAGCAACACATCTGGCGAGCGATAGAAACGAGATTGTATGTACTGATACACCTTTTCTTTGACGTGGCAAGAACTTCCAAAATCCACCAACTTGATTGCCGAACGCTTGGGGTTCACGAGAAGAATGTTCTCCGGTTTCAGATCACAGTGGATTATTCGAAGTTCGGGCCGCGAGAGGAATTCCAACGCATGACACAGTTGTTGTGCGAATTTGCGTGTCAGGTTGAGAGAGACACCGCGAAAGTTGGTGTTGCGCAACAGATCGTACAGATTGTAGGAAAGCAGTTCGAATACGAGACAAAGATGTCCGCGAAAGGTGAAGTGTGTGAGGAGGCGAACTGAAATGAGGGGAATTAGAGGATAGGGTTTCATCATCATCGACAGCATGACACCACACCGATGCTTCACTGCCGGTTTGCTGGAGGGGCAAACCAAAACAAGTGACGAGAACGTGGGCACAAAGAAATCAATGAACGAGCATTTGTGAAGAAGGAAAACCCAGAGTGCGCCAAATGCATCTAAGGCCACTGTTTCATCCTAAACACTTGGACTACTCTGAAATAGCAAAATTGAGGTAAACGATAACTGAGCACTAGGGATCGATGGAAATGAAGTTGCACTGTACCCGGAAGGGTGGAAATATTCATAAATCCGTCAAAAGTAGGCGTAAGATGAAGAACCAATATAGCACCGGTGACATGACTTTCAAGATTCTGGCACGCCCTGTGAATGCCCTGAACATTCTGAAGTATGGAAAACAGAGTTGCGAACGCCCCGGTAGGTTGAATATTCGGTAATTCGGTTGGATGACTCGAATGTCACGAGAACATTGTGCTTGAATGTGCCGTATCTACAAATTCGGGTACATATGACAAGACGGAGTTGCCGGGGTAGGTGGTCACCTTAGCGAATTCGTCTTCACGAAAGACTCACCTGAATCACAGCTAAACCTGCCGTTTGTGATGATCGTCTTCAAGTGTCTCCCACGAAAGCCAAAATGGCATGGAATTCGCCCTCAAATAGAAGACATGTTTGACGGAAACCCGGGGACTGAGCCTACCTGATGGGACACAAGATGGGCGGCCGTGGGCTGTCGACGAATTTTCAGCAACCTTATGAGTAGTGTGTTACGTGCAGATCACATCGACTTTACTAGTTTGCTTCCTGTCTAGCAGAGCTGGATGACTCAGTTGATATTTCACCCGAAGAGACTGGGATACACATTTATTTTACCATTTTATTGTTTATTATTAATTCATTGTTGTTATTCATTATTTGACTTATTCGGGCTATAAGTTGTTCCATTCCTCTTGGTTGGGATTGATCTCAGGCACATCGCCCATCTTCGGTGCTACCTGGTTCAGATTTCATCCAGAAAAACTAAGTGAAATAATCTCAACAGTATTGAAGATCGATTTGGTGGTATGCGTTCTGAGCACTAAAAGTGCAGAGTGTTTGGGCGGGTGAACCGTCAAATCAAGTTCTGGCATGTCCGGAGACCAGCCGTCCCTAATAACCGAACATCACATCATTTGGACGGATGTCTCACGCGCAGGCTACGGACCAAACGAAGGTATGCTCTGATTGGTCAGAATGCCAGCCAATCCGGATCGAGCATCTCTGACTCGACCCTTCTTGCCCCCTCACGGAGATTCTGGCACGACGTTGTGGAACACTCTGTGACTACCCTATAAATACAGTTGTAATAACTTTCCTTTGTCTCCAAAAAGGGCTGTCTAGAACTACCGTACCTTTTGATATACCATAGTGGGCGGAGCAGGAAGCTAAGGGACCGATAGAGTTGCACTACCGTTCTGCAAGTCACGATAAGTGGCATAATTTCGTCCGCTGCACTATCTGTGAAACGGAACAAAACTGAATGTAATGAATCACATTTACACATACTGTGAAGCGACTTCCTCTGGCGCGAACCATGGTTAATGTCATCTGCTGATTCACCAATCTGTGGTATCTGCTGCGGACCCGCTCCAGTGCCTAGTGCCGGAGAAAAAAGACTCACACAAGGGAACACAACAGCTATATTCCGAACAAGCGAGTGCGTGCGAGTGGGAATGTACAACGTTCTCAAGCTATTTGGTGGAGGGACACTGTCTGAACTCGGTCCAATACTGACGCACACGGTCTGGCTTCGGTACGAGGCTGTGACGTGCTGCATATTGCGGGGGCGTTGTCTGACCTTGATCAACGCTGACTCTCGCTGCCTGGGTTGGATACAAGGCTGTGAGGCGCTGCATATTGAAGGGGCGTTGTCTGTCTGGTCAACATCTAGCAAAGCTGAGAGTCTCAGTAGATTTCGAGCACTCAAAAATGTGACCTTCCTGATAGCTAACTTGGCCCAGAAATCGTAATGATTTATAAACAGGACTGTTCGCTTTGACCATCGGAGCCTTAGAAGCCTCGTACATGTATGACGCGAGATGCCTCACTGGTTAGAGCGCGGATTGACTGACCGAAAGGTCTGTGGTTCGAACCCGACCTCTGCCTCTCGAATCCCCGTGTCTAGGCTTCAGCAACCTCATGCTTCCTTCGGGTAGCATGGCGCTTAGGCGCCGAACGTTGGATTGGCGTAGCTGCCAAACCACCCGGAGGAAGCACGAGCGCTAGGATACTTTCAGATTGCCCAAGAGTAATCGAGATGTGAGGTTCAAACCACGGACCTTCCGGTCAGTTAGCTCAGGCCTTAAGCTCTCTAAAGCTACATCGGTCCCCCTGTACTGGTTTGTTTTCTACACTTCAGCCTGCACTTTCCGCTACCAGTGACTCCGAACCACGGCACGTGCATATACAGTGGTCAAAATGAGTTGAAACGACTGTGATTGGCTTGAATAAACATATTTTTGAAATCAACGGAATGCCGTATACGGGCAAAGTAAATCGATTCATACTGACAATGTCGTTTACACATTAGTTCAGAGATCACCATTCCGACGTGACAGAAAGCCAATCGTCTTTGTGAGGATTTCACATACAGAAAAAGATACACCTCATTGGAATAGCGAGGCAACAAACGCAACGAGTTTCTGTAAACACGGAGCCTAGCTAGAAGTACAGAAGTAGAAAGGTAATATTACAAGTCATTCGCCACGATCAAACCAACGAGGTTGTGGTATGTGAGAACCAGGCGGGATAGACACACCATGTTCGTAGATGACGGGCCGAAAGGTATTGATTGATTGATTGATTAATTGATTTGTGCGTCAACGAGAGAATGAAGCACCGCCACAAATCGTATTGCAAGCGCCAGAACTAACGAGGCGGGCGGTCCGATGATTCCATCACTTTCGGTGCGTCAATGTGTGCCACGGATCGCGAGACAATCTTACCGGAGTTTCAAATAACGTTCCATCATTACATGACGTAATCTGCAAGCACACGAAAGCATCTCCATGATTGGTATTCTCAACGGTCCAGAAAAACACATTCGGGTTTCTCTGCTCTCTGGCAAGCACAAGACCTCCTCTCCTTGCACAGTGGATCATGCGCGACAGGACAGAAAAAACTCGTCACAGCTATCATATCCTTTGTCAAATTCACCGCCAATAGTTCGATGAAAGAGGCTTTTCCCTAGAGGTACCTATCGGTTTTTTCAACATGATCTCGCGGATTCATTGACCCGAGAGACATTCCAGAGTGTTTCTGCTCGCCGATCGAGACTCACAAGCTGCTCTGACGGCACCGAAACGAAGTAACGTAAGGCAGTCCGTTCTGTTTTTTTCTTTCGGGTCACGTGTTCAAAGTGGCCTGATGTGCATGTGACATTGGTCAGTTCTGCTGCAACCTCGAAGACACACTTTTCTGAGAGAAGCGCATTTGGAAAAATCGATCAGATCGATCGGTTGGAAGTAATATATCGGGTTCGCAACCCAGCTGATACGCTCAACCTGGTTGCGTGATAGGATCATCATCACCGCGACAGCAGTAAAAGCCACACAAACATGAGGGAAGATTAGTCTAGTAAAGAGTGGAAAGAAGAGCGAAGGGTGAGGGTCTGGTGAAAAACTCTGTGCCCGTGGGAGAGGCGAGCTCGAACAAGTTTTCTATGACGACGAAATGAATAGATCTGCTCATGTTGCCGGATACGACCAACAGAATCGATCCAGCATCCTTATCCGAAGCAACAGATGAAATCTTGCTGAACAGTTCGCATCGAAGGTGACAGAATGACCGCCATTCGCATAGATCAGGCACCAAGTCCTGCAGAGCTTCTAGCCACATGAAAGAAAGAGAGAGATTGGAAAGGCTCAAAGAGTTCACAAAGGCATTTCGCCCTGAAATTTTGTGCTGTGCCTCCCGAAATCCTTCTTCAGCATGAAATGAGACGGCGATCGAGCATGATTCGTACACGACCCAGTCTGGTAAGTTCATTTGGTGTTCTAGAGATCCGCACGATTTTCTGTGTACACGCTGCAGCTCCTGCTATGCTACGAAGGCGCCGGAGAGTTTGGGGTTTTTTGACCGAAAGGGCCGGTTTTGCGACCATAATGTAACAATGGAACTCTTTTTCGACGTCAGGATTGTTGCACGTCGATAAATTGTGGTCCAGCTTTGTCAACATGTGCATTGATTTCATTCGTCACAGTACGATCGCTCAACTTCAAGGTATGTCCACCCGATTGACAGTGTCAAGCCTATTCAACTGTGCTTTCGAACGCGCCTGATTGAAAACCTCAGGGTCCGAAGTTGGAATAGGAGGGTGGACGACGTGTGCGGCAACTTCCGACACTCGACTGTACAGACTGGTGATCATCGTGCAAGTTCTTCGATTCCTAGAGCTCCGATTCACTGAAGCATGAAGCAATCGGTGAGAAACTAGAATAACGGCGGGAGCGTAATCCTGACGAATCCCACTAGTTGAGATGTGGTAAGATACAGGAGAACACGCCTGGTTGAAGACAGAGAAAAACCGCGAACGATACGTGGGTACTTCATTGTGGCCAGAACCAAGACACACTGAATTCAGAAATATAGAAGTTTACTGCAAAGAAATGACCAGTTCTCGAGAAATACACTTATCTGCAAATCAATTTGGCTTTCATGAGAGACTCAGTGAATCTCTCGTTTATGATACTTTACAGCTGAATGTGCTGCACACGGGCCGCCCCATGTTATAAAGAAAACTACTAATAAGGTTGCTGAAAACTCTTCGACAGCCCACGACCGGTTACGCCCTTCTTGGAGCTCATCAAGTAGGCGCAGTCCCGGGTTTCCATCAACCTTATGTTCTACTTGAACCTAAATTGGACTGTTCACTCACAAACACGTGACTGTTACACGTTTCCCTACTGCCAAACCGAAAAACGGACATTCTGATTTCACGACGCAGAAGGTTACAGCGGTGACTGAGGGAAAACGAATGACCATCTTTTAGACGCGACGACGAGGCATGTAAGCGTGACTTTAAGCTCCGAATCTGACAACTAGAAAGTCGACACGGAGCAGCACGACCTGGCGAGGTTGTCGGGCTGGATTTTGACCGATGCATGACGGACGGAGTCATCAGTCCTAAGTGCTGGGCCTACAAGGAGAGAGTTATTAATGGGGTGGGGAGAGGGGGAAGAAAAAGTATGTGAAGGAGAAAGAAGGGAGGCGTCAGCAGTAGTCTGTTTTCACTTACCCGCCCTGCTGTATGCAGCAAGTAAGGCGACCCGGCTGATGGCACCACGCGACGGCCGATGTGGCATGAGTTTATTTGTGTATGTACAGTTCATGGTTGAACGTGAACGGGGATACTGCCAGGGCGCCCACACCTAGACAGGAGGACGATTAGGGTACTCAACCAAAGCCTTTGGCTCAAAAGCCTAACCCAAGGCAGCGGTGTTTGGCGGGGAAATGCGAATGCATTACCATTTCTACGGAACAAGTCGCCACATGTTCCAACCTGGAGGGCCAGGAGACTGTGTTTGTCAGGCCTCTATCCGTTAAAAACGTCACAACGGATAGCAACAAACGCGTGGAAAAGTTAACAATCACATAGACAAAACGAATCAATCAGACAGATCACATGGCAGATCGGTTTTCATTCAAAGGTATGGGTGGGATGCGACAAGGTCGTCGCAGGTATTCAGTAAAGAATCCAATTAGGGTTTGTTAAAAAAAATTTGAGGTTTCAACATATAAGCCACCCTACTGACTAAGCGTGCAGGGAGCATCACATGGTCACGTGATTCACACGGTTGGATAAGCAGGAAAGGTTTCGAATCAACTATTGTGGTCCTAGATGAACTGAGCACGGATCGAAAACACAGCGGTCGGTGGATTTTACAGATGTGTATCCTTTCCTAATTAGTGGCTGAGAGAGCGAAAAGACGATTTCAAGTGACGTAAAACAGCGCAGTCACTGTACCAAGGAGCCGCGATTCAGCTGTGTCATATGTATTTGACGATACACATGAGCCATGTTTCAGCAGTCACTCAGTAGTACCGATCATGAGACATTCTCTTGTGAATAGAAATGAAAAACTCAGCTGGATACAGTCACGTGATCACTGTTGATTTGCTTGGACCGGTTAAGCGATAGGCAATGGGTGCAATCAAGTGGCCACGCGTGGAGAACAAACATAGTTGCTGTGTGTAGGTACCAACAAAGGATCGTTCAGCTGTAGTACCTTTTCGACGTCCAACTACCGTTCCGTCCGAAGGGAGCACGACGGCTAGGATACTGCCAGGTTGCCCAATCCTAGACAGAGGAAGTCGAGAGGCAGAGGTCGGGTTCGAACCACGGACCACTGAGCCAGCTCGCCGCCAATTTGAAACGTTGGAAAAGGGATCAAAAGCCGATCATCGAGATGTATCACATAAAGAGAACGCACTGCAAAGCTAATCTCAACACTTAGCTTCGAATCAACCGGAAAACTTGAGAAGCATTCAAGAGGAGCAATAAAGGGAAGCGGGGCTTGGTGAACCAAGGAACTTCCAATCAACACGACACTCACCAATATAATTTGCTCCTAATGGGGCTGGTTCACCGGATGCTTCGGCCACCTCCAGATAGCGATTCATTTCGTGTAGCAATCGAATTTCAACCTGCGCTTGATTGGTGAATGCACGTTTGTTCTTGATAATTTTGATGGCCACATCCTCATTGGTTGCACAGTTGTGGGCTTTCATCACCTGTTCACGTGATTGTATCGAAGGGGAAGAGAGTGGAAACACAGAGCGGATCCGGTTTAAGGTAAATAGAGAAGGTTTTAAACAAAGGAATAGCGAATAATCCATGTAGCTCACACTACGTAATTGTGCCCGGCTTAAACGTGTATTAGGCCGTGGTTACAGCACGCCATATCTGCTGAGAAGCCACAATCTTTGCTAGTGCGATCACGATTGCAGGGACGTACGAGGAGAGGGACCCTAAAACCAAGTGTTGTGTACGCATTCCCGGCTCGAGGGTGCCACTAGTTCGTTGAGGGCGAGGTCGACGACGGACTGATGGCTGAACTAGAGATAGCTCATTGGTTAAGGTGCGGACTTACTGACCGGAAGGTTCGTGGTTCGAACCGAACCGCGGCATCCCGACTGCTCCTGTCTATTGGCTTCGATGACCCGACGGTAGTTCAGTCCTCATGCTCGAATCGCATGTCATGGCAGCTAGCTACAGAAACCTGAGATGGCGGTGGTAGTCCCAGGAAACTCTGGTTTCTAATTTTTCTCTAATTCCGATGCCTTTCACTCACCTATTACATTCCCTCCTTTTCACCTGAGGTTGCTCGGTTCAGTATACAGCAGGAGCAGGCAGTGCTATTCATCGACAAAATTGTTTACGATTAACTATGCGTAATATCACACCAGAGAACAAAACCAGGAAAAGGGAGTGGGTCACGAGTACTTTCGTGCGGCGGGTTCGACAATGCGTCAAACGGTTTGCAATTCGGGTTCCGTCAGGTGGAATTCCACGGGGACCCTGTTTTACCGCTCACGGTCAGGTGCTGCTACGGCTGAGAAGCCTACACCACGTAAAGTTGGCCGAAAATTCGGGAAGCTTGCCTGTCCGCCATCAAGCCGAGATCTGAGTGGTCGAAAGTCTGGACCCAACAGCCAATCATAACCCAGTATTGGCCGAATGCCGGTTGCCAATGGCGCATCCAGAAGACGTCAGAATTTCCAGAAAGTTGTTGTCGCTTGTACTGTATACATGAAGCGCTGTACAAGTGTTCTTGACTTAATATACCTTGTGCACCTTTGGCGGTTGTTTTAACGTAAACGTCAGCTTGGGACGCTCAGAATTAAGCTAAGAAAAATATCGTTACTACAGGTCCATCAAAAGAAATCAACGAAAAGCAGAGCAAAAACTTTACATTAGTGATCACATTTCAGATCGCTTGATCACAATCCGGAGTGAACCAGTCCCCAAGCTTTTCAAAGAATGCACTGGAAAGATGTGAATTTCCTCAATCTGGATTCTTTGTGTTTGGCGGTAAAACTTGTATTTTCATGGATGTCAGCGTGTTCAGTGGACAACCAAAATTAACCGATATATAGGTATGCCCTTTAGGCAAGATAAAACTCGTATGTGCGAGACGATCGAATGGGTGGAACAATTAGCGATTTCAATTCAAAGAGGATATAACTGAAGTATCGGTCAGATTGTGGGAGGGTTGGGGAACACGATTAACGGATACGACAGAAACACAGAACTGGATCAATGCTGTGAAACACAAAAGCTGCAGCTGTTAAGCACGAGGAAGTACTGCCGCAACTGAAGCTGTTTGGCATTTAGACAATATCTCAGAGACCGAAGAAAAAATCTTCAAAGAAATTCGGAGTGAATTATTTCATTGCCTATGGATTTAACCATCAAGCTTGGTACAAAAGCTTGGCTTTCGGCCACGAAATAGAGTCTACCTTGTTGATTGAGATAATTAGGGTACACTTTAGAGACGAAGGAGACGACGTCCCGGTTTCATCTTGTCACTGGATTACACAAAAATTATATTTCCGTGCCTTGAAAATACAATACTCGGTCTTATGAGGTAAGAATGGAGCCGGTTGACAGACACTTTCACTCCCAAGGACTCTAGGGTTGTATTGTTCAGATCACGTTACGCTTAGTGACGTCACTTGATCCTAGTCAAGTGACGCACCGTCGCCAGTTCACTGTATAAATGACTAGCCAGGGCTCAACAGTTAACCAATTCATTCAAACGTTTGATTTTCCGGGCACAGATGTTGGCCAATCCGAAAACAGACAAGAGCACAAGGTCGCTCAGGTCTAGAAGGGAACAGAGATCGGTTTGATTCACATCTCAACATGCACTAACGGCAATACCTCAGCATAGTTCTCGGAATTGATGAGATGCACACGAACTAATAGTTTCCCAGATGAGACAGAAGACGGAAACGCGCTCGATCTCGTCACGTGAACCGCACCGCCAAAGGTTGAATCCGAGTGCCAATCAGGCGACGATGGAAAGCTTGCGGATTCGAAAATCCGCACTGCTGACGATTCACAGCAAGCGGGAAATTCCTCTTCGGCACGTGTTAATCTCACTTGCTAGATAGAAGGTGAGTGGCGGGCGATTTCGAGGGAGGCAATGCTGTGAACCGGCAAGGGTACCCGGAGACAGCTTTCTTCGCTACGCGGAGAGGATTAGTGAACTGGGTAGCGAATCGCGCTAAACGATGCACCGAAATAAACAGGGTAAGGAAGGATGGCGTGGCAGTCGTTCGACAGATACAAAGTCTCGCAGGCACACACACACACGTTAGTAATCCATGGGGATTGGAATGCCAAAAGAGAAACACGGTCGGCCTCCGCTTGCCACACACCAAAGATAACATATCAGGTGTGGTCAATCCCGTTTGTGGCAGGAAGCGCTGTCGGAAATGGCTCGGTGGCCAAATACGGGCGATTTTCTCGCTTCGCACTGGAGCGATCAGAGTGAACAAGCACACTTATAAAGATAGACCGCCAGACAGTGTGAATTCCGTAGTTTTTTCCTAGTCCTGAAACGCGACAAGTAGCGGAAGGACGCTTTAATGGAGGAGAATCGGAAAGAACGACCGTGAATAAATTGCCTCAGTGTCCAACTCCGATTGACTACTTAGTGACCAAACTACCTCGCGGTTATCAGGTGTTCTTGTTTTTCAGATACGGATGCCGATTGGTGGTTAAATCGTTCAGGTGTAACACACTTTCGGTACGGCAGTGAAGCATTGGTGTTGAGCACTGATGTCATGCTGTCGTTGATGATGATGATGATGACACTTTCGGTGTCTAGCTGACAAGGGCTGCCAGGTTGCCCAAGCCTAGACAGGGGGAACCGAGAGGCAGAGGTTGGGTTCGAACCACGGACCTTCCGGTCATTAAATTCACACTCTAACCACTGAGCCATCTGGCCCAAGGGTGCCATACGCAGTACCTGTCCGTATTCGCCTCAAAGATGCAGGCTACACAAAGAATACAACCAGTCCACATCAGTCGCGTTTTCTCAACAGCTGAGAAGGACACTTTCGGACTCCTTCAATAATTCGAAAAGATGAAGTAAACTTCGATCGTTCCCACCGTATGCTCACCCACATAAGGACCACATTGTCGTGTGATCGTACGGAACGTTTCTCAGTTCTTACGAGAAGACCTGATCGGACAATTATCAGCTGATCTCAGGCGATCGAATCCTGCCACACCACAGAAGAGTCCCGTTCACGTGTACCACGTGATGGATTGCTTTTCCAGGATCAAAAATGATGCACAATAATTATTACTTGTAAAAAATTTAAGGCTAAATGCCTGATGATGATCGAATTCTGCTCGAAGAAAGCAGAGAAGCGATCCTGGTAGCTCTCTACCAGTCAGTTGCTCAACAAATCAAGCGAAAACTACGTGGATTGCTCTATGCCATGCGCACAAGAAATGTCGGCGACCACTTGGTATTGCGATTGAGTTTGAACTGAGTCTAAGCGATCGAATTCTGCTACCTGACGCCTGCCCATCAAGCACTAAATATGGGTTCCTATGCAAAGATAAGCGTGAAGACCCCTCCAAAGAACCAATCCTCTTGGAGTCGTACTCAGAGACTGAGTCAGTCCGCTCCAACATGACACGTTTGTCCATCGATGTGGCGATGCGCTTGTTGAGGTCAAGCGAGGTTAAGAAAAAAAGTACCACTCACCTGTCCAAACGATCCTTTTCCGATCAAACTCTGTATCAGATATCGTCCCATCCACATTTCACCCGGTCGCACGATATAGTCGTAATTGGCATCGGTGTGACGTCTGTCCACCTGTTGCTGGGATGCCGGCGGGTGCTGACTGTTCCCAGTTCCGTTCTTCGCCAGGGTCATCGATGCTGTCGTTGTGGTGATGATCGTGGGTACTTGTGGCGCTTGGGACTGCTGCATGGACGGTACAGGTGCGAACCGGGAGTCATTGGTTGCGCTATTCGTGGGCATAACGGCTGTGAGTGTGCCGTCATTCAGAATGGACGAGTTGAACATGGGCTGATTCACATAGGTCACGGCCGTGGATTTGCCGACCACTTCATTGGCCGGTCGATTGGCCGCTGCCCTTTGAACGGCGCCAGCTATTTGAGCTTGATGTTGTTGATATTGAAGATGGTGGTGATGGTGCTGGAACACTTCGTTGGGATGGGGTCGGAAGGACGTTGGTGGAGCCATGTGAGGATGAGAATGGGTGAATCCCGCAACGAAAGACGGACTTTCACGGTTGTCCCCAGCTGCCGCCGCCGCTGCTGCTGCTCGGTCAATAGACCCCGAGTCCACCGCCAAACACGACGGACTGTGGTTTGCTAGATTGAGCCGATGAACAAATCCAGCTGAACCAATAGAGAGGATAGAACGTGTATATATTTGCGATGTGCTACTCATGAGGTTGATGAAAATCCGTCGACAGGATAAAACGTGATAGTAAAGCGCAGCATTCAGTGTAGGAGTGACACAGACTAACTCTATTACAGGGCAACTGACAAACATAAAACAATTGGTGGATTCTGTTTCCCTTTTTTTCGGAGAAAAAAATTTTCTGAAGTCTCGAACATAGTCCTCAAAGGAGGTGGGTCTGACGGATACCGTCGATGGCTTAAGAAAAAATGGTGGGTTGGGTGACCCATCTTCTAGAGGAGACCATTCCTCCTCATATCTCTGAGGAGACCACTCCCCAAGCCTCTTGAGATTAAACGACTTCGCCCCCCGAAAAAGTACCCGGGAATCTGAGCATCCATCAAAATGTTCGAGGAAAACGACCAAATGTCTCAAGGGATTCACAATAATTCCGAGTGGGTAGGGGTGGACAACAGGGTCACTCGGGAATGTTTTTACCTAGTTGAGAAATTGTTTTTAAACAGCCGTTTTGAACCGATCCGACCCCAAAATTGTCAAGAAAAGAGCACGTTAGACTTCTTGCCCCTCCCAAATATTGTGATTCTTTTGATTCTGGATACTAACTCTATCCGAAATCTTTTGTAGGATACTTACATTCAAGTCAATGATTTAGACGAGCAAGGTCTCGCATGCCAAAACAGCCAGAATCCAAGGTATACTGCAAGTACACCACTAGTAAATCGCGGATACAAAAACTTTTTGGGATGCCTTTTCTGGAGAGTGAAGACACAACTGCGGTACACATACGACGGGAAAGGACACTTGACGATTGATTGTATCCGACGGTAGAATTATCATCATTATCATCATTGACAACAACATTAGAGGGGAACACCGGTGCTTTACTACCAAATCAATCTACCTGGATGAAGCCTTATGGTAGAAGAAGAGAACAGGACAGGGAGGGCGACAGCATAGGGCTAGCCTATCACAAACATACGAGGTACCTTTGTCTCCGACATTTGATTGGACATTCAGGATAGGAACTGACAACATTAATGTCTACGGGCGCGAGATGGCTCAGTGGATGGCTCAGCGCGGATCTACTGACCGGGAGGTCCCTAGTTCGAACCCGGCCTCTACCTCCCGTCTAGGCTTGGGCAATCTGGCAGTATCCCAGCCCTCGTGCTTCCCTCTGGTGGCATGGAAGTTAGGCACCGAAAGCGTGCTACAGCTGAACGAACGATGTACTTAGGTAGGATGGGACGAGATGGGAGGTAAGATGGCTCAATGGTTAGAGAACGAATTCACCGAACGGAAGGCTGGTGGTCCGAACCTGACCCCCGCTTCTTGACTTTCACTGTCTAGGCTTGGGTAACCTGGTAGCATCCTAGCTCCCGTGCTTCCTTCGGGTGGCACGGCAGTAAGGCACCGAAAGAATATTACTACTGGACGATTTTTTATGTACGGAGAGAAAGTTGAGGGTGACACACGATCCCAAGAAGAAGAGTGATTTCAAGTATGAAGGGATAATGGGGAAATTACAAATAACAATGAAATATGAAGAAGATATTCAGCTCACTCGATATCTCAAGCAGTTGGCTTGAAACGATACTCAACGCTTCTGGAGAACGCCACGGGAATTCGGCACAACGCTACACTGTATAGCCAAACAACTAGATGTATTAAACAACTTCCGCATGCTTGCACAAGTTCTGTGCAACCCGTCAGTGTGAGATGGGTCCCGAAAGTCCTTCTTTGGTGTCCTTTTGTTACATAGTTTGAAAGTGCTCCCCAAGGAACACATCTGAAGTCTGCTGTGAGAGACCGGTATACGGCAAGCCACGGAACACCAAATCACGTGATCGAAATCTGCGTCATCGAGACCGTATGACACAACATCCTGTATGAGTGCGGGCTAGATAGCTGTCTGAGACGCCTCTTCCCGGAAAGAGTTGCAGAATCGAATTTCATCATCTGGAATGTGCGATGCCCAGGATTTCTGTACACACGAAAACAGAGTTTCGTCCATCTTGTGCTCAAAAATTCCTTGAGTTCATAAATTGCGATCTTTATCTACCCGAATTTCTAAATTTCTAAAATGCCATGGAGATCCTCAGGGTGACATCCTGAGTACGTGACTGAGCCAGCGGATTCGGTGTGGACAACAAGACTTTCAAGCTAATAGCGTTGTTTCTCCGGAAACTGCGCCATTGTACTCACGTGCCAACCTAAAGGGCGACGTAACGAGATTTGTTGCATTCCGGTATCGCACTATCTTGACGGTCACGAGAATTCGAGCTGCAGTAATCAAGACTGCCAGGTAGACGTTACTAATACCGTTGTGTAGTAGACAACTCCGTTTGGTCGTAGGCGCACCAGTAATTGGCTAACTGCAAGTTTGCATATGTCGAGTTTGACCTTCCGGCCTGTCGACTGTGTCTTGGATAAGAAGACAATATCTCAGTCAATTGTATGCGCAGTGACTGTATTTTCCTCAGCTTAGTTCTCGGTCTGAGTCTCCCAAGCAATCGTTCACGTCAGAACAACCACCAAGAGTGCACAAGGTATATTACATAGTGTAAGCGGCGACAACTTTCTGGAAATTCTGACGCTTTCTGGATGTGGCATTGGCAACCGGCATTCGGCCAATACTGAGTCATGATTGGCTGTTGGGTCCACACCCTCGACCAATCAGATCTCGGCTTGATGCCGGACAGGCAAGCGTCCCGAGCTTTTGCCCAATCTTGCGTGGGATAGACTTCTCGGCCGTAGCAGCACCTGACTGCTAGCAGTAAAGCGAGATCCGTGTGGAGTTCCGCCAAACAGCATGGATCGTAACCGCTTCAAAACATAGGTGGCACTTTGTGGCATCCAGTGCGCGAAACCGCCCCACGCGAACGCATTCTGTCTGTCAAATCGGGGGCTATAGAAGTTGACAAAGTGGCTGTGATACATGATGTTTGAAACAACAAAACTAGCATGAAATCGTTTGTGGCCTGTCGTCATCATGACGGTTTCAGTTGTTGTTGACAAAAACAAAGCCGGGGTGATTCAACTGTGTTGACAGTACATCACGCGGAGACGTGCTGATGTCTCCGATCGACGCACATCTGTGCAACTGGCGGGTGATTGTGTGCTAGCAGACCAACCGATACATGAGGTGGAGATTGAAGTAGTAACCTAGCCAAGTGTTGTGCATAGTGGCGCTTGTCTATAGCCCAACATCGTATCCACCTTACGATCTCCGAGTGGCATGGCAGTTGGTAACCGAAAGGGTGTTGCGACAACGATTTTGAGAGTTGAAGGCTGCAATTCGGGAAGGGACAGGTCTGGAGTCAGACTCTCGCCCAAATAGCTCGAAAGTGAACACGATTCACAGACAACCCGCGCGGAATAATAGAATATTGCGTCAACTGGATGACCATTATATGACTGGAAGCTGTGTTGTGATTGCTCGGCATGTTGGCCAATAAGAATGCGAGGTGTACGATTGGTGCGAGTTCTTGTGACCAACACGGAATATTTTATGCGCGTTCTTTGAATGCACCCATAAATGCTTGACGAATGCATGGTCGTTGAACGTTGGAGGTTATTCAACCAAGATCTGGTCTCATTTTGATGGAAGTTGTCTGAACATATGCTATCAGGCCCAGAAACCTTGGTAAAATAGGAACACCTGTGGGATGGCCAAAGCAGAACCATCTTTCTGTAGAGTCAGCACGGGCGTTATCGATTTCTAATGCGACTGTTCCGAACTGGGGCGAGATGGCCCAAGTGGTTGGAGCGCGAATTTACTGACCGGAAAGTCCGTGGTTCGAATCCGACCTCCGCCACTCGACTTCCCCTGTCTAGGCTTGGGCAATCTGGCAGTATCCCAGCCCTCGTGCTTCCTTCGGGTGGCATGACAGCTAGGCACCGGAAGGGTGCTACAGCTGAACGCTTTCTTTTTCTGTTCCGAACTGAACGGTCTCCCACTTGTTAGCAACGGAGGTCGTCGAGATGTGATACAGTCCCACTTTTATTTGGACACCTGGAGAAATGAAAACTGCTCACACAGCACTGATGTGAGTGAATACCAACCGTCTGGTTGCCAAACAACTTTGGTTTTGATGCTGCCTTGCGAAGTGGCAAAACACGACAAGCCTGATTCCTTTCACTCGGGATTCGACTGGTTGAATGATACCGTTCTTACACCAGCTCGTCATTATTAGGGGCTCTTGAAGTACCAGCAATTGCGCATTCGAAACACTGTTTATTCCTAAAAAGCCTGCTCAGTGTTGTGAGGCTCGTGGTCCGCAATCATAGCTACTCGAGTGTTTCAACGCCTGCAGTTATGGGAAACGATGACATGGAAACGTTGGCGGAATACGATGCCTAGGATTAAAACAGGGCCAACTCGAAGAACTTGAGTAGAGATGTGCACTCATTTCGTGAGTTTTCACCAATTCACTTAAGGTGGCTCAGTTGAGGCGGGAGGTTTTCTGAATACACCTGCAGCAAGAATATGGTTTCTACGATGAAACTATTCACCTTCACTGGAAAGCCCAAGGTTGTGCTTGACTGAAAGTCCAGATGGAGCATCAGGATGATGACATAATTCTGAGCTATTGTGGCGAAGAGAGCTCAGTTCAAGGCAAAGATATGCAACAATGACCTGATTAACAAGATAAGGATAGTTCGTGCAATGAGATACTTTGTTTCGGAACCAAGATCATCATCATCATCATCATCATCATCATCATCATCGACAGCATGATATCATTGTTCAAAACTGATGCTTCATTGCCTTACAACCATGAATTATTTGAAAGCCTTATTGTAAAGAAAAGAATAAAGGTGGATGGGGGAGGGACTTAGTGCTAGTTTGCCACAATCATTCCGAGGTGCCTATACCTCGCGGCACTCACTCAGGTGATCTGGATAGAAACTGACAATAAGAACGCCACTGACATCGGTTGACATCCATGTCTTGTAGTGTCTCCAACCAGGCACAGTGAGGATCACGCGGTCTCCATCCTGGAAGGCGAGTAGCATCGACAGCACCCAAGCCAAGTGTTGGCCAAGTCAAGTGTTGGCCACCTCTCTGTTTACGTCACTCTTAATTGGGCAGGGAAAACAGCACTATCTCCGGCAGACGATGTCTAGGCATACGCAACACATGCGTAGCTTTATTATGGATTGAAAGCCTTTGTTGATTTGTCTAATGCTGGCTTCGTTTTGGACCGAATAACGTCCCGAATTAGAAGTCACCATAAATTATACCCCCAAATGATGTGTTTCTTATGAAGAGGAACTTTACAATAAAGCTGACGAGCTACCTGGACGACTAGACAGGAAAAAAGGTGGGTTTGGACAGGATAAAGAAATCTGAACAGCGCATTGTGCTACACATCGCGTGGAATGCCCTCACCAACTCCACTAAACATTTCAGTCGCCTCTTAAACCAGGGCCAACATAGGTGAAAGGCGGATTACTCAGTCCACGTTTTATTACGTTCGGCGCTCCAGGAGGATGCGAAATGTCAAAAAGCCACTCAAAGGCAGTGATGCTACTGTCTCTGATGAAAGGCAGTGGCCGCTCTTGATTGGTCCAGTTACTTTTCAATCCCCGGTTCCCTTATTCAGGTATTCAGCTACCTTGAATGAGTGAATAAGGATGAAGCTCTTTCGAGCTGAACGGAAAGAATTATCCTCTTGTTATTTCACAAAACAGTTTTTCTGAACCACAGTGTTGTGAGTAGTGTGTGGTTTATGAAACCTCGAGAATTTCGCGAGTCACACACACATGATCGTAGTTGAGCAACTTAGCCGTTAGATTTGGTTGTAGCCTTCACACAAATCAGGGAGCTAAAACTGTGATTATGTATTCTTTTTTTCTGTCTTTGCAGAGCAGGATATGTTAGACACACAACAATGGAAGCTGACAAGAGTAGGGGAGCACCCCTTAGGTCAGAATAACAGGAAGTTTGATCGGGCCCCATGTCGTTAGTGCTGATCACATGATCAGCCTAAGAGAATCAATTTGAGCCGTCTGCAGTGTGCCTCGTAGGTTATCGATCCAGAGGCATAGCTTGGCAACACCTGGAGCGGAGGCGGCACCATGATGTCAAAAGCGATCCATCCCACCTACTCAACAGACATTGAGACCGCCCTCTGTTCGATGGGATGCGGTCTCATTTTTCTATCGTCTAGGTTGGCCTCCGTTTAGTTTAATCATCGGGCCTGACGATCAGATCCGGAAAACACTGATGTCCGTCATTTTGTGGACTTCGCGACCGAACTGACGCCCGCAGCTCGACAGGTCAAACAATGTACGTCAGAAGCATAAATCCAATGGCCAAGAAACATTGCTGGCTAACAACAAACCAATGCTATTGAGTCTACTTGGTTAGAATGTAGACCCATGTTGTGCGGCGCAACGAAAATATCCAGTCTATATTGGGATTTTTCATCGGAACTAATGTGGTATGAGCATTCGTTTTCTCACGCGACTTTGCGAACAACAAAGACTGACGCTTTATCAAGCCTTTGGCACCGAGCGGCAGTATCGAAGACATTTTTAACCGGTGGGTGACTCCACGCTGTAAACGGTCTCGGAGTCGGACGCACCGATCAAGCGACTTCATTCAGCTGCCCCATGGTGTGCTTCGACAAAACTATTGTGACGAATGGTTTCCGGGAGCGCAGTAGCGAGAATGTTCCCCTACCTCCACCGTGATTCTCCTGGGTTACCCTTGGTGTAGGCTTTTCGAATAGTTGGGATTTGCCGATGAACAATACTCACACCTTTGAGGCGGATCATTTAAGATTTTATCGCAATGATCATCAGCCCTCAGGCATGCAAGGTGGGATCCGAAGACATTGCTTGTCCCCATTCCACCAAAAACGCAGTGCAAATCAAGAGGGAACTGGACGACAGGACAACAGGTACTGCAAAGGCGTTTCTCTAACAAGGGGGTGGACTAAAGCGAAGACGGGGAACGCTAGGGCTACGCTTACTATCGCGGGCACTTTCGATCAATTAATCAGCATGGTTGTTCCATTTGTTGAACTCTCGATTAGACTTTTACGCACACGTGCACACCACACAGATAGTCTCTATCCAGTGTTCTATGCAAACCATATTTTTGAGTGCACGTAAACGAATCGGGGTGATCCAAGGCTGTTCATAGCTAACCGACCTGGTTATTGGAAAAGCACACCCACATGACAGATGGTTTTAGCATGCGTAACCAGCCTCTGCGTAGTCAGCGTTGGGTAGTGCTGACGGTGAGGTCTGCTTGTCCACAAGCAAACCTTGGTAAGGCCCTTACGAATGCAGTGGGTCCCGGCAGACGAAAGTTCGTGGTGCGTCGGCGACATAATCAATAGAAATGAAAACACCCTGGGATCCATTCAGTTGATTACAGAAGCACGTTACCCCCAAGTGTGGTACAGTGTCCGAAGGTCTGCTATGCATCAAGAAAGCTTACGTGTAAGTAACTAAACGGACTTCATAATTCCGAAGTCGGAGAGCTCAGATATTTTCTGAGCGACTGCCAGCCCGAGTGGACCTCTGCCTCTCGACTTCCCCTGTCTAGGCTCGGGCAACCTGGCGGTATCCCAGCCCTCGTGCTTCCTTCGGATGGCATGGCAGTTAGGCACCGAAAGCGTGCTACAGCTGAGCGATTTTTTGCGATACGAAGCGATAAGGTCGTGCATAAGGAGTTGAGGGGTGACTGCTACGAGAATGCAGATTAGCGAATAAACCGTATGGCGCCCGTTGCTAACTACGGAACCGTGCTGCCTATCGGGTCATCCTCGAGTTCACAGAGGTTAGAAGAGCGAATACGAACACGGGTCAAACGTGAAAAATTACATTTATCCAAGACCCAAGTTTCGGAAACTTTCTGATTGCCTTACAGTCTGCAAGAGGGACAAAGGGCGCTCAGGGATGAGGACCTTGTCCGTCCACGAATTCTACGTTACTCCATGAGCTGGTCAGAAACTCGGCAACCTCATGGGCAGTGATAACAATCCGGCACGCGAACCACCACTGTCCAAGAGTAGGTCACCGAGAAGGGGAAAAGTGTAGAAATGTTCTTGGTCGCCAATAGTGTTGGACTAGGACACCTAGTACCCCCATGGGCGTTCAAGTAGACATGGAAGAGACGAGATTGGTACAGTGAAATGAAATGGAAAAGAATCGATCGATTGGAACATGAGAGCGTTAAGACAACACAGCCACGCACACACGCACACACACACACGTGCTTGGACATGAAGAATTACACAAGGCGAACGTGCTACACTATAAACAAGATTCATTGCGCTTGTCAGACACACTGATAAGTGCCAGCAACGAAAACCCGATCGATACGTGTTCGCGAGTGTGTGCGAGTGCTCGCGTTTGTGCGTGCGTGCGCGCGCGCGCGCCCTGGCGTGATCGCGTATGCAAACTGGATCGCGGGGCAGTGGAAGTAGGCGGCGGAGACAAACAGGATATGAATGCATTAAGACAACCGCGCGTTGGTCATACATGCCAACCGAGGCGAATCGAACATGCTCTGCAATCGGCCCGCGTGCGACAACCGCGAATACCTGATCGTTCAAATTTCAGTGTATCGTTCTAGGGGCTAACGACCAGGAGAAAGTGCGGGCAGCAGGAACCCAGAACCCCGTGGTTCCTAGAAAACGTTGCTTCTCGTCACGTTGTGACTTATCTGTGCGCGCACATTCATATGTGGTTCTAGCGGTGTGTCCTGATGATTGCGTCGATAAGCTTCGGATAAACGCGCCAGTCGCTACACAGACGTGCTTCCATGTAGTTTATAGATATCGCACAGCGTTGAATGGGTAATAACAAAGAGGCCAGCTGGCACCCAGGCTTATGTAATTAGGGCTCAGCGATGCATAGCATGGCACGATTGGTCCGTCTGAAATAGGCCTTTTGATGTGGCCTCTTTCCTTTGAGTTTGACTGGTTTGTTGAACATCTCGATTTCGGTGGTTGCGTTGCTTTATTCCGACTGGCCAGTTTGCGTTCCTCTTCCTGTCATGTGAATGGTCAGTTTTCCCTCTTTGATTTGATTGGTCCATTCGCCGTTTCCGCTGCGTTTTGGTTCGAATTTACCGCATGTTTGTTTTGCGCACTTTTCACTTGTTTATTTGTTGGTTAATGTTCTGTTTGATGATGCGGTCCAGTTGTGCTGTCCCGATCAGTTGCTTGCAGTACACTGCCCATCGTTTGCTTCTGGAGGTCTTTTTTCGTGCAAAATTTTGATAAATCGGATGGCTCGCATCGCGTGTGTTCTCCGTCCAGTACCCCGCGTACCCGTAAATTCACTTTCTCTGTTCTCGAACGGAGAACTCATGGTCAGAAAAACTCTGCACAGAGTTATAGCAATTGCAGTGTTCCCGTTGTTCAGCCGACTAAAACGTCTTCACAAGTATGCTGATGAGTTTTGACATCACGTGCATTAGCGAATGCGCTGTGATAGCTCAAGTGGTTAGAGCGCGAATTTACTAACCGGAAGGTCCGTAGTTCGAACCCGACCTCTGCCTCTCGACTTCCCCTGTCCAGGATTGGGCAACCTGTCAGTATCCCAGCCTCCTTCGGGTGGCGTGACAGCTAGGCACCGGAAGGGTGCTACGGCTGGACGATATCATTATGCTGGACGTGGAGATGGTGTTGGGACCCTCAGCTTGAAAAATTATGGAGCAGATGGGCTTTGCTCGAACTTATTGCAACATCCACACAAGTCTCAATGCATCGTCATTTTGTTTTCACGTAAGGGGGACTGGAAACAGGAGAATTGCAGATCCTCACCCAGCTGCATTAAGTATTTCGGCATCCTTACCTGCCTAAGTAGTACGCCGAAATGTGCAGGCAGTTGCATTCAGTCGTGGTTGAAAGTTGAGGGCAAGCGGAAATCAGCACATGTTGAGCCATTCCATGCAGCCACGGAAGACCCACCAGTTGAGATGCTGTAGTGCGGCCCAAGTGACGCGCGTTGCCCGACCTACACAAGAGCAATCTGGATTTTTTGAAATGCCTCGAACCCCGGTCAGCAGCTCGCGCAATAACCACCCGGATGCTTCACATGGTAGGTAGCGTGTGAAGCACCTGCTTGCACATCAGGGGCCTCAAACTGTGGTTGTATCCAACGGAGCGAAGAAGCTTAGTCCAAAGATAACGCCGGTTCAACTCTCAAGGACTGGAATAGTGACACTCCGACAAATTGAGGTCACAAAATGGCTCCCATGAAATTACAGATTGTACGGTATAAAGCTTTGTTTGAGAAACTTTATTTTTTTAGGTCAAAAGACGTGAGGGTGTTCTCCAAATATCGACTACCTCGACCTAGGGATCGATGAGCAAAATGGATGTCTCAGATACTGAGCTGTGGTGCATGTGATGTGACTCAACTCTCGATCGCGAGGAGGGTTCCAGTCTATGTAACGGTGGGTGCATCAAACAAGGTCACCGTGAACAGTGGACAAAACGTCCATCGGTCATAATGCACTAATCATAAGATTGCTGAAAATTCTTGGACGACCGGTTTCGCCCTTCTTGAGGCTCATCAGGTAGGCGCAGCCCCCGAGTTCCCGACAACCCTATGTTCTGCCGAATTGCACGAAACTAGGGAATATACACTCATTTGCAAACTAATTTGGTTTTCACGAGAAACTCAACTTGAACCCAGCTGAATCTTTCGTTCATGATGTTTCCATGAGGTGGCCCGGAAACATCACAAACAAGACATTCAGCTGGGTTCCAGGTAAGTCTCCCGAGAAACCAAATTAGTTTGCAATTTCGTGCAATTTGGTTTTAATTAGAACATAAGGTTGTCGGAAACCCGGGGACTGCGCCTACCTGATGAGCCCCAAGAAGGGCGAAGCCGATCGTGGGCTCTCGATGGATTTTCAGCAACCTTATGAGTAGTACATTACAAATATACATGTATCGCGATATTTCAAATATCGTAGCGACTGAAACATGAGGCGGCCTGATGCAGCACATTCAGTTGCCTGAGAACATCATAAACGAGAGATTCAGCTGGGTTCCAGGTGAGTCTCTCGAAAAAACAAATTAGTTTGCAGATGAGTGTATATTCGCCAATCGCAATCAATTCGGTTTCAAGTAGAACATAAGGTTGACGGAAACCCGGGAACTGAGCGTACCTGATGAGCCAAAAAAAGGGCGAAACCGATCGTGGGTTTTTGAAGAAGTTTCAGCAACCTTACGAGAGTAGTGCATTCACGATATCGCGAATGTCGTAACGACTGAAACATGAGGCGGCCTGGTGTAGCACATTTAGTTGCCCGGAAACATCACAAACAAGAGTGTCAGCTAGGTTCCAGGTGAGTCTCTCGCAAAACCAGACCTATTTGCAAGTGAGTGTATTTCGCTAGTTCCCCGGTCATCTTCACGGAAAATCCCATGGAACCACGTCTTGGCCACGGTTCCATCGATGCAGCCTAGCATTAGGGGAGAAGCGAGTAGGTGTATGATGACATGAAACGGGGAAAAATTGACGTTCAGTTTCCCCAAACAGCTGTAATGCGCGTGTGATTCACAGAGGTTAATTGGCTTATGTGAATCGCATTTCTGCTCGCGTAGAGCAGAGGCACTACAACAACCTCGAAAGAGTAACGAACACTGCGTTGGTGCAAGTACGTGTTTGCGAGACACCTTTGAGCTGTACGACTTTGCGGCGTACCGAATGCAACCTTGCAGTAGCTCAGCCCTCATGTTTTCTTCAACTTGCACGCCAGTTTGGCGCCGAAAGAATGATGCAGCTGAACCGTTGTTATTACTGGTAGAAAACTCAACCAAAGAACCCGCTTGCATTCTTTGCTCCCTGCGTAAGCAAGCAAAATAACGCAAAAGTCCCCATAGATTAGCTGGTGGTCATATTGATCTAGGCTGGGCGAAAGCCATGCAAACGGTCGCGAATCAATGGTTGCAGCCAGTGCATTGTCGTGCCAAGTTCCTTTCGCTCGATTCTGATTGGTTCGTCAGGAACGCCAACCGGCAGAATGTCAGTCACGTGGCCAGCGGATGTGTGTGTGCGACCGCACGCGTGCCAGCATGAAGGCGTGGGAAGCACCAAATCAGGCGTGAACGCAGACCGAGGAAGCGCATGAGTCAACCGGAAGCGTCACACCAGCTGAGGTGTCATATTGGTCGTTGTGTCGAAACTGTCACCACGCCTCTGGGATCAATCAGTGCGGCTAAGCTATTGGAAACCATGGGAATATCTCTTCAGGCCATTAGCTGTCCAATAATCAGTCCAGGAAGAACCCGACTCTCTTACACGAGGCGACCGTTGCAGCATGCTGGGTAGTGGTACCCTTGTAAGTCAAAATGGACTTTGTTAGAACCAGCCAAACCGCACACTTCCATCACGGATGTAGAGTGAGGTAAATCGAGAGTGTCTCGGTCAAATGCGGTCACATCAATCCAAGCGAGCAACCAAATGCACGAACGCACCGCATCGGCCCTTTATTCTCACTCGTTGTGGATCTTTCCAGATAAGCCCCGCCACTTTTTCCCAGCTCCAATTTAATGAACGCACATAACCTTGACCTATTTTTGATGAAAACAATGCCTTATCCGCATCTAGGCAAACATTTTCTCCGTTCGGACGTAAAACCTTAAATGAACTTTCTGACGCTTTCAGCTATCGTTCAGGACAAGGAGACGGCAATACGTCTTTTGCAAAGCCAAGGAGTGACCCATCAGCAACGTTTATGGCCACCAAATGACACTCAACTGTTTCTGACAGATGGAGATGTAATGCCCGACAGTGTTGGCAGGAAATCGGTCTTCGAAAGGGAACTTGACTGGAGCATTCCAGCATGGACAGTAATTCTATTCATTTATTGCTAGTCCAAAATTTGGCAAAAATCGAATTCCGCTCAGGGGAATTAACGACCACTTTTGATTGGAAGAACTTTCTTCGCGAAGTTTGTGCCCGGCGGCTTGTGCAGACTTCAACAACTCCGACAGGTATCGACGGCCCAATTCTACACGTTTATATCGATGAAACGCTAATATCCCGCCGTAAAAACCACGCAAGGCGAGTCGTTCCCCAGCAGTGCATTTTCGGAGGAATCTGCCGGGAAACTAAGGAGGTGTTCATGTGTTCATGCAGTGCCAATTTCACCCTCTTCATTAAAAACTAAGAGTACAAATTTTATATCCTATTTTTTCCCAATCTTTTTAGGGTGGGGGGGTTAATTTTTTGGCGAGGCTATTCTGGAAAAAGATCCCTCGTTGTTATCAACAAGGTGTACTGGGATTGGTTAAGTGGCCATATGGTGGGCAAGTTCAGGACCACGTAGACTATCAGCTTACAGCAATAGAAAATTTTAATAATTAATATTAATAACGTATATATCATATTGAAATGTATTATATTATTATATTATATCATATCATTACACTATATACATTACTATATTATATATATGTATTAATATTAATAAATAAACCCCACCCATGGGAACATCCGAGAAGGAAACCGAGGACGGCAGACTATCAACGAACAAGACGGTTTTCAGTAGTAGGCAAGAGTAGCAAATTTCACTGTGAAATTGCATAATGGATATGCTACTGCTATCATGTGAGCCACGGGTGAATTGCTCCCGTTTTTTTTCTGATCCCCAAAGCCGTAATTTTAGCTCAGCTGATCAACTTTTTGTTCACCTATACGGGGACACCCGCGACGGGTACCGAATCGCCTTCTCAGCCCATAGGCGTGGCAGTACCAGAGACAACAGCCGTCTTTTGTGACAGTCAACAAGCAACAGCGGACTTCGCAATGGTGACAGTCCCCAGTAGAACCGAACTCAGCATTTGTGGAAACCGTATGGCTGTCGCCAGCTTGTTTTTAAGAATGAAGATTGAAATGAGAAAAGTCAGTGGCTACAAGTTGTCTTCCAGAAGACAACTTGTTTCATTCGGGCGTGATTCCTTATGGGTGGAATGTATTACGAATATACATGTATAGCGATATCTCGAATATCGTACCGAGTGAAACATGAGGCGGCCTGGTGCAGTACATTCAGTTGTCTGGAAACATCACAAACAAGAGCGTCAGCTGGGTTCCAGGTGAGTCTCTCGAAAAACCGATTTACTTTGCAAATGATTGTGGTTCGCTAATTTGATGCAATTTGAATCGAGTAGAGCATAAGGCTGACAGGAACTAGGGGACTGTGCCTACCTGATAAGCCCTGAGAAGGACGAAACCGGTCGTGGGCTGTCGAAGAGTTTTCAGCAACCTTGTGAGTAGTTTCCTTTATGAAAATACATACTGTGATATCTCGAATATCGTGCCAACTGAATCATGAGGCGGCCTGAGTGCAGCACATTCAGTTGAAGAACATCATAAGCCTAGCGGCTCACTTGAGTCTCCCGTGAAACCACATCGGTTTGCAAATGAGTGTATTTCTCGAAAACAGTCCAATTTGGGCTCAAGTAGAACAAGAGGTTAACGGGAACCCGGGGACTGCGCGCCTACCTGATGAACCCCAAGAAGGGCGAAACCGGTCGTGGGCTATCGAACAGTTTGCAGCAACCTTATGAGTAGTGCATTGCGGATATACACGTGTCGCGATATCTTGAATATCGTCGCGACTGGTGCAGCACTGGGTTCCCGGTGAGTCTCTCGAAAAAACAAATTTGTTTGCAAATGAGTGTACTCCACCTGAGACTTATGCTTCCAGTGGAAAAAGCCTTGTGCCGATAAATACTGACCCCTAAGAACCTGTTTCGTCACAAGACTGCTACCACCACGAGGAAATCGGTGCCTCTTTCCTAGCTAACCTGGATTAGTAACCCCTCGAGGGGAGTAGGTGGGATGAAAAAAATAAAACTGAACTTTCCATCCCTACCAATCTGGAGTGGTTGGAGAACATAGCTTTTAGGCTGATTTGTCCCGGACAAACCAAATTTGGGACAAACTCCCCTTTTTTCAACTCTAATTATCGCGCAATCGTTCAACTGAGACTTGCCGACTCTAGTAGACATCTGATGTGTTTGGTTTTAGTCGTTTCCGCTTTATTGTGGGCTTGGCACACAAGACAACGTGCTGTGACTTACAAGTTCCAACTCAAGAAATCCCATTTCAGTCAGACGAGGTTGTCAGACGGACAAAACAAATCAATCCATCGTTTGTTTAGCTGGTGCATAGCTATCATGCCACCCGGAAGAAGAACGAGGGCTGAGATACCACCCCATTACCGAAGACTAGACAGGAGCAGTTGAGATGCAGAGGCCGCGTTCGAACCACGGACCTTCCGGTTGCGCCTTAACCACCGCACTATCTCGACAAAACAAAGTGGGCGTGGTGCCTATTGACCTGCAGACAAGTATGCAGCACCCACAGTCAGGATGTGTCATAAATCTGTTGGGCTTAGAGTTACCTATTCGTTTGCACCACTAGAAGGAAGCAGGAGGACCGGGATACCGCTCAAGGTTGACCAAGCCTAGACAGGGGAAGTGAGGAGGCAGACGTCGGGTTCGAACTACGGACTTTCCGATCGCTGAAATTTGCGCTCTAACCACTGAGCCATATAATTGTAAATATTGGAAAAGCGACACAAGTCAGAATACCAGATTACGTGCTAACGAACAGAGGCCTACAATCGGATTTCAAGGTTGCGTTTGAATCCAACTTGGTTATTCGTTTTCTGACATGAAATCATTCAAGATTCGATACAACCCAGTTGCATATACTACGAGACTGCCATTCCAAGACCACTCGTGACTCGTGACAGTCAAAATCACTGGACCTCGAGCCAGAGAGGAACTCGACACCCCAACAGTACCTTTATTTTGAGAGGTCGTACAGTCTTCCGGTGCCTAGCCGCCACCCCACCCGAAGGAAGCACAAGGGCTGGAAACAGCCAAGGTTGCCCAAGCTTAGACAGGGGAAGTTGAGTGGCAGAGGTCGCGTTCGAACTACGGACTTTCCAGTTAGTAAATTCGCGCTCCAACCACTTGAGCCATCTCGCCCCCTTTCGTTTATATCACGGGCAAGTTGGTGCGTAAGTGGGTAAGCGAATTTCATATGGACTAAGGCGGCAAATCGACGGACTGATCGAAACATCTGGTACAACATCAATCATAGTCTCTGATTGCGGAACCTCTAATCAACATTGATGGCATATACTTGACGGTAAACTAAGTAATTTTTCGGTTGAGTACGCAAAACAGACTTCACCCGCGCGGGCTAATCAGCTGTTGGCCAAGGGTAATCGGAAACGGTATTCTGTGATTGGAGGGGGGGCGATATGGCTCAGTGGTTAGAGCGCGAATTCACTGACCGGTCCGTGGTTCGAACCCGACCTCTGCCCCTCGACTCCCCCTGTCTAGGCTTGGGCAGCCTGGCAGTATCCCAGCCCTCGTGATTCCCTCTGGTGGCATGGCAGCTAGGCACCGAAAGGGTGTTACAGGTGAATGATTATTATTATTCTGTGATTGGCCAGGTGGACCCGTTTTCTGCGTGTCATTTTTCACTAAACGCGTTTTGAGACCTCAGTCTGTGACATTTTCGAATAACAGCAACTACGATCCTGGATGACATTTTTAAAAAAACACAAAGCGAGTTCGTTTCGGGGACGTCACGGGTTCACATCCCTAGGGAAACGTAGCTAAGCACGACGATTCCCATCAGATCGATCGCTTGTCTGCGTTAGCGACCGTTTTCGGGCGTTGTTTGGAGTGTTCGTGGTACCAGACAAACCATCTAATATTTTACAGATTTATATATCAATATGCTAAAAGTACGCGCCCCGAGCGTCCTTCACGAAGACAATATTGTCACTTTTTTGCGACCCGAAATCCAAACAAATGGTACAAACAATAGTACTAAAAATTCAGTGGCAAAGCGCTTTCGACGCCTAGCTGCGGTGCCACACGAAGGAAGCACGGGATCTGAAACACTGCCAGGAAGCCGAATACTAGACAGGGTTGGGTTCGAACCACGAACCTTCCGGTCAGTAATCTCGCGCTTGAACGACTTACATGTCCCGAGCTCCACCATTCTGAAAGATCAGGAAAGAGTGACCGGCCAAGACGAACTCCGCCGGTTGGCTTTTATGGAGCCAACGGTCAGTTGGATCCTCTTCCTGATCGTC